CGGCTCCGCCCACTCCCCCCGGCCTGTCTTAGGAATCTTCCCTCGCAGTCAAGTAACCCACGTTCAGGGCGGAAACTGAAAAACAGCGACCGAAGCGGGGACGTCCTCTCCCCTCCCCTCCCGCCCCTCTGCGCCCCACCCCCCTTTCCTTCCAGCCCACTCCCCACACCGGGTTTTGGGCTTGGGGACTGTCCCTACCGCTTCCGCACGTGCACTTTCCTTTGAAGGGGGACGTCGCTGCGCCGGACCCCTCAGGGACCCCCAGCACCCGGGTCCCGAGCCCACTGCCCGCTTTGGCGCCCCGCAGACGCCGCTACACACTGACCCCAGGCCGGCTGCGCTGGGACCACTTCAACCTGACCTACAGGTGCGATGTGGCCCCGGAGGGGGAAGGGGAGCGGGCGGCCCGGCTGCCACCTGACTGTGACCCTTCCCCAGGATCCTGTCCTTCCCTCGGAACCTGCTGAGTCCCCGGGAGACCCGGCGGGGCCTGGCTGCCGCCTTCCGCATGTGGAGCGACGTGTCCCCCTTCAGCTTTCGCGAGGTGGCCCGCGAGCAGCCCAGCGACCTCCGGATAGGTGGGCGCCGCGGCCCTGTCCCCCCCCCTCCCCGGCCTCGAGGCCCTGTCTGAGCCCCGGGCTCCCCGCAGGCTTCTACCCGGCCAACCACACGGACTGCCTGGCGTCCCCGCTGCACCACTGCTTCGACGGCCCCACCGGCGAGCTGGCCCACGCCTTCTTCCCCCCGCACGGCGGCATCCACTTCGATGACAGCGAGTACTGGATCCTGGGCCCCACGCGCTACAGCTGGAAGAAAGGTGACCCGCCACCATGCCCCGGTGGGGCCCGCGTGCTCAGCACCGCGGTGCGCCGCCGCGGGATGGCTTTGGGGCAGACGGCAGGAGGGCCTTGGGGGGGCCGGTGGCTGCTGTCTGGGGTCAGGCAGGCAGGGGACGGGAGGCTGCGGGCGCCCGCGGGCCTGGGTGTCAGCGGCCCTGAGGCTCCCCCACCCCCACGCCGCTGGAGAGGCCGCCGGAGCCGCATTCCTGGGTGCAGAGCTCACCGCCCAGGCTCGGGCCCGGGACATTCTTATCTTACCGCGGCTGTGGCTGTGGGCGCCCAGCGCTGCAGCCGATGTTGCTGGGCCTCGGGGCGCAGGCCTGCGGGCGGGCGGAGGGGCTGGGCCGGGGGCTCCGAGGTGCTGACCCGCGGGGCCTGTAGGCGTGTGGCTCACGGACTTGGTGCACGTGGCGGCCCACGAGATCGGCCACGCGCTGGGCCTGATGCACTCACAGCACGGCCGGGCGCTCATGCATCTCAACGCCACGCTGCGGGGCTGGAAGGCGCTGTCGCAGGACGAGCTGTGGGGGCTGCACCGGCTCTACGGTGAGTACCCCCGGGTGGGCGGGCGGGCGCTCCAGACGGGCCCTGAGCCAGGTGCCTCCCCACAGGCTGCCTGGATCGTCTGTTTGTCTGCGCGTCCTGGGCGCAGAGGGGCTTCTGCGACACCCGCCGGAGGCTCATGAAGAGGCTGTGCCCGAGCAGCTGCGATTTCTGCTACGGTGACGCCTGGGGCGGGGCTGGGGACTGCTTGGGCCTGGGTCTCCCAGTCTTGGCTGTGGTGTGGGTGACAGGGGCACTGATGTGGTGGCACTTTTCTCTGCCTCGAGCAGAATTCCCCTTCCCCACAGTGGCCACCACCCCACCGCCCCCCAGGACTAAAACCAGGCTGGTGCCCGAGGGCAGGAACGTGACCTTCCGCTGTGGCCAGAAGATCCTCCACAAGAAAGGCAAAGTGTAGTGAGTGACCAGTCAGTGCTGGGCGGGCATGTCCTGGGCTGCGGAATGTGGTCCTTACCCGCAGGAGTCTCCCCTCCCCCCACAGCTGGTACAAGGACCAGGAGCCCCTGGAGTTCTCTTATCCCGGCTACCTGGCCCTGGGTGAGGCACACCTGAGCATCATCGCAAACGCCATCAACGAGGGCACCTACACGTGTGTGGTGCGCCGGCACCAGCACGTGCTCACCACCTACTCCTGGCGTGTCCGTGTGCGGAGCTGAGCCTGCCCAGTGCCCTGCTGGGCTGGGAGTCCCTGTGATAAAGTACTTTCTGTCCAATGCGTCTGCGCCTTCTTGGGAGGGTGGCAGGATAGGTGGCCAATCTGGGCCTGCAGCAGGTGGGGCGGAGAGCCCCACCCAGCCTCTGTCCCCCTGGATGTGGGGTTTTGGGGCCAGGACACCTGCTAATGCCCCAGTTCGCTGGCATGAGGACACAGCTGATAGGGCAAGAAGGGATTTGCCAAGAAAACCTCTGGGAACAGTGGAGTAAACGGAGGCCCAAGAGCCAGCAGCATTGCCACGTGTGAGCCACACAGAGAAGCGGGATCCCTGGGTAGGAGCTGCTCAGGGATGGGTGAAGCAGTTTCTGGGGCTGGTCCTGGCAGGGTGGGGCACTGGGCATCAGCCTCCCATGAGGCCTGTGAACGGGGGCTGGTGAGGTACAGCAGTAGCAGGTACAGGGGGCTGGGGACCAGCTTGGGCAGAGGGGGAGGCCCCGGGGTGGCAGTGAGTGCCCCCTGCTGCCTGAGGCTGACCCCCTGCTGGGCCAGGAAGAGCCTGGCCCACCTCGGATCAGAGGCCACGTGGTCTCCACCCTCATCCTCTTCCTCCAGAGCTGGCTGGCCTCTGGCTCCCTCCTAGGAGTGCCCGCGGGACCCAGCCTGGGGCCAGCCCACTGAAAAGTCACACCAGTGCTTTCCTCGAGGAGTATCTTACTACATTTTAAACATGTAATGGCCTTATGTATAAGCCTGCTGCGGCGAGGCCATCCACACAACCGTGTTGAGGGCGGTCCTGGGGCTGAGGCCTGTGTGGATGGGGCTGGTCTGGACACCCCGAAGGGCGGGGAGGCCTCACTCGTTCTGATGCAGAAACAGGAAATCTCCTGCCCCAAAGACTGAAAAATAGACCCGACACCCACTCCTTCCCAGCTCTCTTCCAAATCATGGCCTGCCTCTGTGCACGTGTGTGTGTCATGTATCTGAGTGTACGTGTGTGTGCATGCCTGCATGTCAATGCATCTGCATGTGTGTCTGCACGCGCGTCTATGCTGTCCACACCAGGCACCTACAATTGTCGCTTGCTCTCAATGAGCAAGTTGGATATATCTAAAGTCTTTTCCTGCAGAACAAAGAAAATGTGATTTAATTCTACAAATTTACAAACAAAAATAATATAAAAACAGAATGTGGAAAACCAAATAAGATGAGGAACTCCAGGACGGGGGTGTCCCCTGGCAGCACAGCCTCGGCAGCTGCGGCAGTGCTGGGGGCAGGCCCTGGTCTGGAGGGGTTGGCTCCCACCCTCAGAACTTGAGGCTGAAGCCAGGGCCTGCGGCCGAGGCCCCCTGGTTGGTGGTGGTGAGATGGAAGCCAGTCTCCTTCAGGTCATCGTCGCCCTGTGAAGCGAGTTGGGCACTGTGAAGACGCCCCCCAACCAGCCCCACCCATGGGATCCCCCCAGCCCTGGCCCCTTACCAGCTGGCTGTAGCCCAGGCCTCCCTCGGGGGGCCGCGGGCTCGTGCCCCGCTTCACCCTCTGCTGCTCACTCTTGGCGGGCCACGTGGGGAACATGGAAGGGTCAATGGGGAGGGGGGTCTCGCGGAAGTACTCGTGCTTGAGGCCGTCTTCTGCATTGATCCTCCTCCCAGGGAAATAGGTCAGGAACCTGAGAAGGACAAGGGAGTCTGGTGTGGGGCTGCCGCGGGGCCCGGAGCTGAGCCTGTGCTTGCTGGGCCGGTCAGCCACACTGGAACCAGACCAAAGCGGAGGGTGACAGGCCCAGAGAGGTGCCCATGTGCCCCACTGAGCTGTCATGGTCCCCTAAGGATGGGGTGTGAGTGGGCACAGCTCAAGGTACGGGGTGCCAGGCACCAGACAGTTCTAGAAGGGAGCAAGCTGGCAGGCAGATCTGGGACCAGGAGCTGCTGTGGCTGCAGAGATGGTGACACCCACCCCACCAAGCAGCACATGGACCTACTTGTTCATGAGGTCAAAGCCCTGGTCTGAGAGCAAGGCCCCAAAGCGCTTGCGCAGGTTGTTATAGGGGTACTCGCTGAAGGTCATCTTCTTGACCGCAGGCAGGTCACTGTAGCCAGGCCAGATTTTCTCACTGGGGGTCCCCAAGTCCTAAAAGACAAGGATGTTTACAATGGCCATGTCACTGTTATCAGGATAGGCCACGAAGAGGCCACACAGGGGCCCTCAGTCAGACACACACACACACACACACACACAGGCACCTTGCCCCATTGCTCGCAGTACCTGTGCAACCCCAGCAGGACGCCTGTAGGAAGGAGCCTCATGTCCATGGAGAGACTGTCACGGCTCTGGCCCCAAACCCACCTTAAACACTTTGTTGATCTGGTCGATTTCTGACTTCCCGGGGAACAGAGGTTTCTGAGTCAGCAGCTCTCCAAAGATGCAGCCCACCGACCACATGTCGACGGCCGTGGAGTACTCCTGAGAGTCCAGGAGACACAGCTCAGGGGGCCATTGGGGGCTGTTGTGGGGGCAGGGGAGGCTCCCAGACCCTTAGGACTCACCTTGGCACCAAGCAGCAGCTCTGGGGCACGGTACCACAGGGTCACCACAACCGGGGTGTAGGCCTTCAGAGGGGATCCATACTCCCGCGCCAGGCCAAAGTCACCCACCTGCAAGAACAGAGGGATAGGCTGTAGGTAGGAGCCCCATGGCTGTGGCCGGGAGCCCCATGGCTGTGGCCAGGTTGGGGCACCTGCAGGTGGGGCTCACCTTGAGGATGCCGGCGTGGCTCAGCAGCAGGTTGGACGTCTTGAGGTCTCGGTGCAGGATCCAATTGTCGTGCAGGTGCTTCACCCCACGTAGCAGCTGGATCATCAGGGTCTTCACCTCCCCTGGGATGGGACAGTGACAGCATCACATGCAGGTTCCCTCCCCTCAGGCAGCCCTCAAAGCCCCCGACACAGGATCTGGGTCCCTCGAGGGTTATTACTTGCACCAGTAACAACCAGAGGCTCCTTGGGAACATTTATCCTGGAAACACTTATCCTAGGAATGCTTCCAGCCCAGGGTGGGCCTTGCACACATTGAGGCCACTGCGGCGAGTGTCCTGGGATCACTGCAAGGACATTGCTCCTGCGTTTGCTCGAAGAGCCCCCCCAGGGACGTGGTCAGAGGGCACGGTGCCACGCTGACGTCTAATGAGTAACCTGAGGGGTATCCACACAACAAAAGAGCTCTGGCGGCCCGTGGCCTGGAGGGTGTGGGCTGCAGCGGTACCTGGCAGGAAGGGCTGCTTCATGGTCTCCATCAGGCTCTTGAGGTCGTGCTCCACGTAGTTCATCACGATGTAGATCTTGTCCATGTTGCTGCCCACGACAATTTCCTAGGGAACAGGCTGCAGGTCTGGGTGCTGGGCCTGTCCTCAGGGACCCCGCGCCCACCCCTGCAGCCAGCGGCTTTCCCAGGAAACCTGAAATCCAGGGCAGAGTCACTGTATGACAGTAAGGACCTATGAGGACATTTTTGGAGGCTCACGTGTAGCCTCCCGGGGACGGGCTCCCCCACCCTGCCCCGGACGTAGTGCGTCGAATGCGGGGACGGTCCTCACTCTGACAGTGACGATGTTGGGGTGCTGGGCCTTGAGGATCGTGTTGATCTCCCTCAGGGACGTGATGGGGAAACCTTCCTTCTCTTTCTCCATCTTCAGCCGCTTCAGAGCCACAATCTCATCTGTAAGACCGAGGTGTGGGTCAGGTGCTCAGAAAGCCCCCACGCGAGCACGTCAACGACTTGACAGGTTTAACTGGGACTTGCTTTTTGCTGACAGAGCACGTGTCAGTCCACAGTGAGTCAGTGTTCACTGACAGCACGAATCAGCACCAGGAAGAGAAGCCCCAACCTGTGGTCCTGTGGAAGCTGAAAGCGCCTTCTCCCATTCACCTACACAAGCGCAATTCCAAAAGCTCGTGGAAAATGGAACTAAAGAGGGCCGGCCCGTGGCTCACTCGGGAGAGTGCAGTGCTGATAACACCAAGGCCCCGGGTTCGGATCCTATATAGGGATGGCCGGTTAGCTCACTGGCTGAGTGTGGTGCTGACAACACCAAGTCAAGGGTTAAGATCCCCTTACTGGTCATCTTTAAAAAAAAAAAAAAGAAAATGGAACTAAAGGATAATACAAATCGTCCCACGAACCTTCTGAAGGCTCCTCATATCGCCTACTGTGATCACAAGTTTGCACATTGCACCTCTACCTCAGCACGCCAGAAACACTGCCGGCAGCTCAGGGGACTTCCCAACAAAACCAGCCTTGCGCACTGGGTGGGGAGTCCACGGCTCCAAGGCCTGCTCAGGTGCCTCGCTCAGGACTGATGCTGTGGGGACGTACACAGGGCACAGCATGAGTCAGAACCACATGCCTGCCAACCACAGAGCTCTCCGCAGCGGGGAGTTCCAGCACACACAGTCCCATACTCCCGTCCCATCACCGTGGAGTATGGTGCCTGCCATCCCAAGTGAGCAACAGGCCCTGGGGTCAGGCTGACTTCTGGAGGCGCTGAAGGGTCCAACCTCTAAACAGCTGCTCAGGGTGCATCACCTACAAGTCACAATCTGGTGCCGGCAAGGTATGGTGTGGCCCAAGGCATGGCACCCAGGGTAATTGCAGGGCAAGGACAATTCCAAAAATCCGAGGGGGCCATGTGGATGTAGCTCCAAGTTCAAAAACCTTGTGCAGAAGCTGCGCAGGACGGAGGCACAGGGCACAGTGGCCCAGAGCCCAGGCCAGGCTGCTGTGGCTCTGACCCAAGCTTCCGGCTTGTTGGCCCTGCCATGGTCAGCTCCCTAATGTCCCTCCCTGTGCACAGGAAACGTTCCAAGGCTGGGCTTTCACAGCCCCAGGGCGCAGCCTGCTGACCACTGCTCCTCAGGAGGAACTTGTTCCTGTCTGAGGAAAGGCCAGAGCTGGTCCTGATAACCAGGTCAGGCTCTCTGGGCCACCCAGTCCCTGCCCCCATCTCCCCTTCTCTCTGAGGGACTGCCCTCTGCCTCTGCCCACCTGTTTTCTTGTCCTTTGCTC